AAAAAAAAAAAAAAAAAAAAAAAAAAAAAAAAAAATTCCATCAGTATTCATAAAATTCATAAAGCCTATACATGTTCTAGGCAGGCAAATATTCCCTGTGACGCCCCAGCTAATTAAAATATTCCGCGTAGTTAAGTGCCGACATATTTGGGGCATATTTTTCCTACATTCCCCTTTGAATAGACTTGCCTCTTACCTCATCACCTTCCCATTTTTTATGCCTCATATTATTACTCTGGGCTTTTTTGTGTGTGTGTGTTCTACTTGACTGTGCGGTGGAATGTGTGTTTCTACGTGTGTATGTGGGGGTGTTTAGTATCCTGTTGCATTTCCATATTGCATAAAGTAATAATTCCGTGCGGTTTTACGTTGCGCACTCCATCTTTTTTCTTCTTCTTTTTTACCTTTTTCTCTTTTTCTCTTTTTTTCATGAAATGTTTAGTATCTCACTTAAGTTGCAGTGAATATTCTAGACAAAAGGACCACGTAATGGAAGTCCAGGTTCATTTTACACGTTTTTCGGGACACTTTACGAGCATCTGTGCCTCGTAATGATAACTGTGTACTACAGCTGATGTTGTAGATAATCTTTAGACAAATAGGCACCGATTTGTGTGCGTGTGTGTGTATGTGTATGTGTGTGTGTGTACGCGCGTGTGCTACATATATATATATATATATATATATATATATATATATATATATATATATATATATATATATATATATATATATATATATATATATATATAATATATGTGTGTGTGTGTTGTGTGTGTGTGTGTGTGTGTGTGTGTGTGTGTGTGTGTGTGTGTGTGCATATATCAAAATTGGTCCCAAATCCATCTGGACGTAAGGGATATGTTTTGTAGAGAAACATGCTTACTAAGCCGCGGGATGATGCAGTAGGGCGGCCAGTTCCTTTCCGCCCCGACTTTGACCCCAGAATGCTGACGTCAGCATACCGGTGCTCATTCACAGCTGAGTCGACTGAGAGGAGCAGACGGGCTCTGACCCAGAACCATGCGATTGCAAAGCCAGCGCTCTGCCATTGAGCTATGCCACCTCCATGTGCATGCACACACATACACACACACACACACACACACACACACACACACACACACACACACACACACACACACCACACACATATATATATATATATATATATATATATATATATATATATATATATATATATATATATATATATATATATATATATATATATATATATATATATATATATATATATATATATATATATATATATATATATATATACATACACACACACACACACACTATCTCTATCTATCTATCTATCTATCTATCTATCTATATATATATATATATATATATATATATATATATATATATATATATATATATATATACATACACACACACACATATATATACACATACATACACACACGTATAAACACAAAAGATCATCCCTTATAGTGTGTATCCCGAGTACGATGAACCCAGCATGGAAGTTTTCCCTGAGTGTACAAAGGGGTTATTAGGGAGCTCGGAATGAACCCTTAATGCTGCTCTGCCGTGGACTCTCATTATGCTGGCGGAAGGAACTCGTGGGGGTTGGTCTTTGACCTATTCGTGACAGAAATTATAGAGGTTGAGGTTGATGATGATGATGATGATAAAGATGAGAATGATGATAATGTTGATATTGATTGTGAAGATAATGATGATGATGATGATGATGATGATGATAATGTTGATATTGATTGTGAAGATAATGATGATGATGATGATAAAGATGAAAATGATGAGAATGTTGATATTGATTGTGAAGATAATGATGATAATGATGATAAACAGGAAAATAATGATAATGTTAATATTGATTGTGAAGATAAGGATGATGAAAATAATCATAATAACAATGATGATAATGACAATGATAATAATGATGATAATAACAATGATAATAATAAGAATAACAATAATAGTAGCAGTAATGGTATTTATCTTAATAATAATAATGATATAGCAATGATAATGAGCAGAAGAATCATAATAATGATAAAATTAAGGATGATGATGATGGTAATGAAAATCATAATAATGATAAGAAGAATAACAACGATGATGATAGTAATAATGTGATGATAATGATAACATTCACAATAATCATAATGATAATGATTATCACAGAATTGATAACTATGATCGTAATAACAATTACTGGTGTTATTTTTATCATTGTTGATATTGTTATTATTATTATTATCATCATCATTATAACTACCATCATCATCATCATTATTATTATTATTATTATTATTATTATTATTATTATTATTATTATTATTATTATTATTATTATTATTATTATTATTATTATCATTATCAATATCATAATCATTATTATCGTTACCATTATTATTATCATTATTATTATTATTGTTATCATTATTATCATTATTATCATGGTAGCTGAGAATGATGATGATGATAATAATGATAATGATAATGATAATAATAATTATTATTATTATTATCATTATCATTATTATTATTACTATTACAATGATAATAATAGTAGCAATAATAATAATAATAATAATAATAATAATAATGATAAAGACAATAATAACGATGATGATAATAATGATGATGATAATAGTAACCGAAGTAATAAGGATGATAATATAAATGATAATGGTAACAACAAAATTAATAATGATAATGATAATGATGACAACAACAATGACAATAATAATGATAATAATTATAGTAATAATAATGATAATAAAGATAATAATGATAATAATAACAATAATAATAATAATAATAATATATAATAACTATAATAATAATAATGATAATAATATAATAATAATAATAATATAATAATAATAATAATATAATAATAATAATAATAATAATAATAATAATAATAATAATAATAATAATAATAATAATAATAATAATAATAATAATAATAATAATAATAATAATAATATAATAATATAATAAAATAATAATAATAATAATAATAATAATAATAATAATAATAACAATAATAATAATAATAATAATAATAATAATAATAAATAATAATAATAATAATAATAATAATAATAATAATAATAATAAATAATGATAATAATAATAATAATAACAATAATAATAATTAATAATAATAATAATAATAATAATAATGATAATAATGAATAATAATAATGATAATAATAATAATAATGATAATAACAACAACAACAACAAAAATAGCAGCAATAATGATAACAATAACAATAACGAAAATGACAAAAGCGAGCGCTGTGCCAAGCAGACAAAGGACGAGAGCGAGGAATCTTTTGAGGAAACAAAGAAATAAATTAAACTTAATGAAAATGCCGCGGCTGGTAGTCATTAAGGGTAAAAAAGGTCCTAATATAGAATTCTATATTGCCCTTGCTTGTGACCGAAACAAATTAACTGTCGTGAATTTGTCTACTTTCAGGAAGAATGAAACAGGGTAGAGAGAAAAAGTTTTCAGAGTGAAAATATCCATAATAAGTTTTGTTGCTAGCGGTTTTTCTCTCTCTTTTTTTTTTCTTTTTTTTTCGTTTTTTATTACTAAAATCCGTCACGTAGAGTAGAAGTACTTACCGTTAGTGCGAGGCAGATTGGAAATTGCGGCAGGAGGGCTCTCGGCAAACTAGAGTTACTTAAAGTTATCATCAAGCCAAATGATCGTACTTACGGGTATCATTTCGCTGGAGATTGATATTTCCTTATATAAGAGGAGGCGCGTGGTGGTGGTATCAATACAGAATGGTGGCGATTTTTTGTTAGTTATGTCTATATTCTCACTTTTAGAGGATGAGGTCTGTGTATGGGATCGAGAAGGCTGGTTGCCTAACTGTGCTTGGCGTTCTAATAATTCTGTTACATATTCTCACTCTCTATCTCTCTATTTCTATCTCTCTCTGTCTGTCTATCTGTTGTTAATCTATATGTCTCTCTCTATGTCTGTTTGTCTCTCTCTCTCTCTCTCTCTCTCTCTCTCTCTCTCTCTCTCTCTCTCTCTCTCTCTCTCTCTCTCTCTTCTCTCTCTCTCTCTCTCCCTCTCTCTCCCTCTTTCCTCTTCCTTCTCTTCTCCCTCCTCTCCCTCTCTCCCTCCCACTCCTCTTCTCCTCTCTCCCTCCCACTCCCTCCCTCCCTCTCCCTTCCCTTCCTCTCTCCCTCCATCTCTCTCCCTCCCACTCCCTTCCTCCCACTCCCCTCCCTTCCCTCTCCCTTCCCCTCTCTCCCTCCCACTCCCTCTCAAAGAATCTTACTCACAGGTGACGTTAAGCAGGATGGAGTCGCTCAGGGGGTAGGCGGGGAACAGCGGGTTGAGTGAGGTGCAGGTGAGTCGCTGGCCGTGGTGCCGTCGCGAGGCTGTGACGCGAACTCGGGAGGTGCTCATGTTTACGCCGTGCTCCGTCTGGAATGGAGGAGGGGAAGGGGGAACGTCATTAGGAGAACAGGGTCGAAGAATAGATAGAGAGAAATGGAGAACAACGAAATAAAGAGAGACGAGGTGGAGATGGTGAGAGAAATGAAATAAGAAAAAAAAAATGAATCGTTGATATAAGAAAAAACAAAATATTTGATCGTTGATATTGATTTCATTTCGACCTCGCTTCAGAAACCAGGTAAAAAGAGTTCGTTCATTGAGACCAAAGAAGCGGCAGGCGAGAGGCAAAGCATCCTGGACTGCGCCAAGAGCCAGCTGCCAAAAGGGCCAAGAAAAGAGCCTACTCGCTCGGGGCTGAATTCGCCTCCTTCGCTGAATGGAGATTTACTGTAGGTTATTGAGGCGATAAATCTCTGCGATTTTATAGCGTAGAATTTTATGAAACGGCTGGATCGCGGTGCGGATGGCTATACAGGTTGCGCATGCCTATATAAATGAATTACACACACACACACACACACACACACACACTCATATCATATACATTCATACGCACACGCACATATGCATGTGGATGTGTATAGGAATGTGTGTTTGTGTGTTTGTGTGTGTATGTGTGTGTTTTGTGTGTGGTGTTGTTGTGTGTGTGTGTCTGTGTATGTGTGTGTGTGTATGTGTGTGTGTGTGTGTGTGTGCGCGCGTGTGTGTGTTTGTCTGTGTGTGTGTGTGTGTGCGTGCACGAGTTATTTTTACAGAGAGAGAGATAGATGCGCATACATATACATAACCCCATATCCCGCCCATTATTCCTGAGGTCCGCGGCTGCCAATCACGCGAGGGCGGTGCGCAAGGGCGGCGTAATTGTGGGTTAGTCACGTGACTTACGCGCCCATCGATCACTCACACACATTCGACAGGAAAATGATAATCGCGTGAAAGTTTTATAGGGAATAACTCGCGTAATCAGAGTCCCTTATTTTATCCCCAATATTTTTCTGCCTTTCGTCTTGTGTTTTTTAGCTGTGTATGTATGGAATTACATATCGTTTCCTTCCAAGTAAAGAAATTAACTGAAATTATTTGTTTTTATTTTATTTTTTTATTTATTATCATTATTTTTTTATTATTATTATTATTTTTTTTTGTATTACTATGACACTCTTCTCTTTCTCTTCCCCGATTATGCTTTATTCCAGTAATTCCATTTATTTCATTTCTATTTTTGGATAATTTAGATACTTTTAAAAACTGTACCCCCTTTTAAAGGATTTTTTTTTTTCATACAATTCCTTTCAAAATGAGGGATGGCAATTGAGCATTATGTTTGGTAAAGCAGCTAATGGTTTCTTTTGTATGAATGACAAAATTCGGGAGCTTTTTTATTTCGGTGCACAAAGGGCTGACTTCCGTGCGTTTAGAATCAGATGGACTTTTTAGCAGTCAGGCAATTGATAATGAGTACGTAATGAGTCATCAAATTACATGCATTATATTCTCTCTCTCTGTCTGTCTGTCTGTCTGTCTGTCTGTCTGTCTGTCTCTCTGTCTCTCTCTGTCTCTCTGTCTCTCTCTCTCTCTCTCTCTCTCTCTCTCTCTCTCTCTTCTCTCTCTCTCTCTCTCTCTCTCTCTCTCTCTCTCTCTCTCTCTCTCTCTCTCTCTTTGTCTATTTGTCTGTCTGTCTGTGTCTCTCTCTCTATCTATCCATCCATCTATCTATCTATCTATCTATCCATCTATCTATCTATCTCTATCTATCTCTATCTTTCTATCTATCTTTCTATCTATCTATCTCTTTCCGTGTATGTGTATAGTTCTTTGTTTGTAAGTATATACTTTATAGGTATTTGTTTGTGTCTCTCCCCCACTGAAAGCCCCCATCCAACCGTTCTATACACGGCCGACAGCTTGCTTTATTCTCCAACCTCTACCTAGCTATTTTCTCATCAATTGCCCAGTCAACCAAGGTGCTTTATCACTATTTTATTGCAGCCTTCTATTTGAGCTGCTGAGTCAGTCTGTCAACTAAACAGCCTGACCAGACAGTAGTATTCTAATACTTGGTTCGGTTTGATAACTAACGTGTGTTCTTGTGATTTGTTGTTGTTTTTTTTATTCTAGTGGTCATTTTCTCTTATTCGGTTGTTTTATCATCATAATCATAATTAGTAGTATTTCTAATATTATCATCCTTGTTTGTCAGCAAGACTAAACAATTCAACAAAATTATCTGAACTTATCCGGCATCTAACTGGCTGTGACGTTTCATTCACAAGCAAGAATAACGAAGTGATTGCATTTATCTCGTGTCTACGTTGACCCCATCTTAGGACAGAGATAACGCGTCCTCTTGGAGTAGATATCCGGCCCCAGGAGACACATCGCTTCGGATACCTTTGAAAGCTATATTCGTAGGAAATTATCTCTCAGTATCTCTGGAAAGTTGTTACTGGGTGTAGGTTTCGTGGAAGGGGGGGGGGGGGGAGGCGGAGGGGGGGGGAGCTTGGGGCGGTGTGGGTGGTTGGGTGGTTGGGGTTGGGGGGTAGGGGGGGGTGGGGGGTAAATGTAAATGAGGGAAAAAATGGAAACATTCGTCTATGAACAGCGATTTGTTTTTTCTTTTTCTTTTTTTCATTTCTATTTTCTCTTTTTTTCTCTCTCTCTTTTCTTAATTTCTACCTATTTCTTCCTTTTACGAATTCCGAATTTATCAGCCGACCCAATCTACGGCGTATAACAACTCTGGTGAATTTACTGCCCAATAAACTACTAAATATACTTTAATGTCTACCTCATAAAACACGAATGGCGCAGAAATGATTATGAAATGTGTTGATATTTTGAGACATGACAGATGACGATAAAGTGATATAACAGGACGATAATTCTATCTAACAGAGATAATTTCTCCGGTGATTCGGTACTAAATAAGAAATCAAATATAGACAGAATGATATTTTCTGAATGATAAAGTTGATTATGTGGATATCAAAGATGGCTATAATGATAATGGTCTAAATTATATAATTAACAGTTATAATGATATGGATAATTGAAATGATAGTAATGATAATGATAGTGATAATAATGATGATGATAATGATAATATTAATAACAATGATGATAACAACAACAATAGCAAAACTAATTATGATTATGATAATAATCCTTGAGGATAATAGCAATAATAATAGTAATAACAATAATAACAGTAATGGCGGTGATAATAATAACGATAATGAAATATCATTATCACGATATGATAATGATGATAATGATATGAACAATAATACTGATGATAATGATAATAATAATAATAATAATAATAACAATAATAATAAACATAATGATAATAATAATGATAATGATAATAGTAAAAAACAATAATATTAATAATGATAATAATAGTAAAAACATAATAATTGATAATAATAATGATAATAACAACAACAAAAAACAACAACAACAATAATAATAATAATAATAATAATAATAATAATAATGATAATAATAAGATTATGCTAATCATGGTTATTATAGTAATCACTATAATAATTATGATGACAATAACGATGATGATAATGATAATAACAACAATAATGATGATAATGATAATAACAACAATAAAGATGATAATCGTGCAGGCACCGAACGCCCATGGCACTTACGTTGGCGGTGATGGGCGTGAGCGAGGCCACGCTGCCGAGCGTCCAAGTGATGTTGGGATGCGGGCGTGATCCGGCAGACACGCACGAGATTTCGTATTCCCTGCCGACCCTCAGGCCCTTCGGGGGCGCCTCCAGCCGGGTCACGAGGGGCGCACTGGCGGGGGGGGGGAGAGGGACAGCGATTGGCATTTTGGGTTATGGAGGCACTCGCTCATACATACACATACAATACACATCGATGGGCAAACGCATGCAGGTACTGAGTCGCGCACACGCAGATGCACACACACACACACAGACACACACACACACACACACACGCACACCACACACACACACACACACACACACACACACACACACACACACACACACCACACACACACACACACACACACACACACACACACACACACACACACACACTGAATCATTAAATCCCCACCGAGGAGATACTGACGCCCCAGTAATTCCTGATGCAGCTCAGCTCCTCGCGGCCTTAAATCTTTAATCCCCCCCGCCCTTTCGCAACACAACAACCATCTGGCAAAAGGACTCCCAGCCTGACAGACCCGAGACTTCAGCCGCCACACAGCAGTAGCCACGACAGCTGGGAAAATGCGCAGTAGACTCAGCGTAGAACCTGCTTTCTCTGTCGCGGAGGAGGGAGCGACAGCTGCAGGCAACGCACTCCTCCAGCTTGAATAGGGACTGGCAGCTGGACGACATGACACAATACACACGTATACAAAATTCACAGTATACACTACATACACCTCTTCTGTTGCTACAGCAGGAGCTTACTTCTTTTTTTTTTTTTTTTTTGGGGGAGGGGAGAGGGAAGAGGTCAAATAAGCGAAGAGTACTCGCCAGGGGTGAGTAGGCCTACGTTTTAAAAATGAGGGGTTTCAGGCTCCAATGTCCTTTTTTTTTCTTCAACAAAATTGGAGAAAGAGAAAGGGACACACACACACAAGATAGATAGATAGAGAGAGAGAGAGAGAGAGAGAAAGACAGACAGACAGACAGAGAGAGACAGACAGATAGAAGAGAATAGGAAAAGACAGAAAAAAAGATAGAAGATAGAAGCCTAAAAAGAGTAAAGGAGAACATAAAACACCGAAAGCAAACACAGCAAGAATGAAGAGAAAGACATGCCCCCCTCCCCCACCCACCCACCCACCCACCGCCTCACCCCGCCCTCTTCGACACCCCCTCCCCCCTCCTTCCCTCCCTCCCCCTCCCCCCCTCCCCCTCCCTCTCCCCCTTTCCCTCTCGCTCCCTCCCTCCCCCTCCCCCCCCTCCCTTCCCTCCCTTCCTCCCCCCTTCCCTCCCCCCTCCTTCCCTCCCCCTTCCCTCCCTCCCTTCCCTCCCCCCTCCCCCCCCCTCCCTTCCCCCCTTCCCTTCCCCCTTTCCTCCCCCCCTGACCCTTTCCCCCTTCCCCCCCCCTTCCTTCCCCCCTTCCCTTCCCTCCCCCTCCCTCCCTTTCCCTTCCTTTCCCTCCCTTCCCCCCTCCCTTCCTTCCCCCCCTCCCTCCCCCCTTCCCTTCCCCCTTCATTATTCTCACCGTCCCACCTCCCCGACACTCACGGTTCATGGTGACCGTGATGGAGGCCTCGACCGGGGCGGTGACGTTGTTGTTGGAGGCGACGCACGTCAGTCGGACGTTGTGGAAGGCGCGGGTGAGTCGGGCGATGTTCAGCTGGTTCACCGTGAGCGTCGGCGAGCGAGACTCCACCGTCGGGTCGAGGATCTGCGGAGGAGGAGAGAGGAGGAGGAGGAGGTGGCGTGTGAATTATGCGTCCGGGCGGCTTTCTGGGGGGGGCGGGGAGGAGGGCCGGGGGGACGGGCGCTAATGAGTGTGTGTGTGTGGTGTGTGTTTGTGTGTGTGTGTGTGTGTGTGTGTTTAGTGTGTGTGTGTGTGTTTGTGTGATTTGTTTGTGTGTTTGTGTGCGTGTGTGTGTTGTGTCTGTGTGCGTGTGTGTGTTTGTTTTGTTTGTGTGTGTGTGTGTATGTGTGTGTGTTTGTTGGTTTGTTTATGTGGAGTGTGTTTGTTTTAGGTGTTGTGTTTTGCGCATACAAGTATGAAGGTAGCTATTTACAGAATCACAAGGGAAAAGAAATAGAGATGAGGGGGAGGAAAAGAGGAAAAGAGATAGAGAGAAAGAGAGAGAGAGAGAGAAACTTCATTCTCGAAAGGATTCATTCCATTAGTTAAAATAGCCCTTTTATATAAATCACAATTACATATCATGATAATTACATAATTAGACAGAAAAAGGAAAACAGAGAGAGGAAAAGGTGAACAGACAGCAGCGCGGAGGGCGGCGCCCACGAACCTTTTCCTGGCGCTTCCAGACGACCTTGGGCGGGGGGACGCCTCCGGAGACGCTGCAGGTGATGGCCAGGGCGGTCCCCTCCTGCAGCGGGCCCAGCACCCCGTCCGTGGCGCGCTGCCCGCCCACCCTCAGCACGGGCTGGCCAGGGAGCTCCACCACGTGCAGGCTCAGGTGGGTCCGGCGGGAGGAGGCTGCGGGAGGGGGCGAAGGGGGGTCAAAATAGGGCCAATCAAAAGAAGGAAAAAAGTCCAATCTAAGTCGGGGATCTTTTACATGGAGAAAGTTGAATTACTTCTCTATTCTCTGTTCTCTGGAAGAAGGAAGAAAAAAGAAGTTTTCCTTGTTATCAGTCAGTCGCTTCTTTTATTTAAATAAAAATTTCTCTTCCATTCCTTCTGCTTTTTATCAACTCAGATATCAACCCGGTTTATGAACGTAAATATTATGAAATAATTTCACGCAAGATTTTTTTTTTTTTCATAATTCAATAAATCATTTCAGATGCATTTATTTTCTTCCGTTCGTTTTCTTTCCGAGTCTTTTCGCTTTTATGTAACACGGTAAATACTGGAAACTTTATGCCAAAAACGAAAAAAAAAAACGTTGAAATCAGATTCCGAGATTTTTTACCAAAGCCAAAAGTGATATAAAAGATAAAAAACGATTCAGTTATTTTAATCTCTCTTTCCAAAAAAAAGAAACATAATACACACAGAGCGGTAGTAAACAGGAAATCAGCGGCTCAACGCTTTCGTCAGAAGAGTAGCAGCTGATTTATGCAAGGGCTGGGAATGCTTGTGCTACTCGGCCATCGCAGGTACAGGCGGGACAACATGTTTTCGACATGTTAAGGTCCCTGAACACGGGACCTGAACAGCGACAGCCGCTCTTTCAAACCGTTTAGGATTAAAAAATCAATAACAAGGTAACGGCAAGCGATTGGATACGCGTTTCCTAGTTTAATCTAGAGAGCTGACAATCGTTCTGTTCAACAACAATAAAAATAATAGGAACTAGAACTACTCAGATAGCACATGCTTCCGTTAAAGCAATAGCGTCACCGATACAATAAAATTATTCATACTTGAAGAACTACATTAAAGACACCTCTTTCTCGAGTTCACTGGAGACGTCCGTAAACACATCCTCTTCGCCGGAGGTAAAAAAAAAAAAAAAAAAAAAAAAAACTAATGATAATAATAATAGTTACCCCTATTGCCTATGAGTTAGGTCAAGACACGCCTCTGGTAAGAATTTCATAAAAATCCGGTCATAACTTTTTCAGTTGGCTGTCAATAGGAGTAACTGATGAATATGTATGCATATATATATATATATATATATATATATATATATATATATATATATATATATATATATATATATATATATATATATATATATATATATATATATATATATATATATATGTGTGTGTGTGTGTGTGTGTGTGTGTGTGTGTGTGTGTGTGTGTGTGTGTGTGTGTGTGTGTGTGTGTGTGTGTGTATAGCCAACAAACAAACAAAGAATCACACAAACACATGCATCTGTAACACCCATAGACACACATACAGAAAGAAAAAACCGCAGATTGCAAAAGGACAAACGCCATTACAACGACACAGGGAACACTGGCTAATTCTCAGACGTTTATCAGTTTCTCTTGTTAGCGTCTTTCGTAATAAATAATCAGCTTACCTAAAGTTTATGGTGAAATGCCATGCTTGCTAAAGGTCGATAATCAACCTCGTAAATACTTTTCTTTCGTATTTATATATCACTTATATATCAGAGGTTTGAATATACAAATGGATATACAAAAGATATGTTCGTGTTTGTGTGTGTGTGTGTGTGTGTGTGTGTGTGTGTTTGTGTGTGTGTGTGTTTGTGTGTGTGTGTGTGTGTGTGCGTGCGCGCGTGTGTGTGTGTGTGCGTGTGCGTGTGCGTGTGTGTATTACATCCACCTTTGGCACTTAATTCTAAAAACACCCTATGAACGAAAGTCGGCCAAAAGCAGCCCTCATATTCAGCCAAGAATATATCACCGCAATACAT